CAAGTATCTCCCACCAGCGGGGAATCGCTCTGGCTGGGACAAGCTCGGAGCTTCCAATCAATCTCCCGGTATGTGTTGTAGAGTAATGCATGTTAGTGTGTGTGTGTGTAAGCGGTGAGTATATGACAAGGAATCGGTAGGAAAGATCGCGCGCGGTTCGTTGTCCGCGGTTTGCGAGGGTACAGTTTTGGCATTCGCCTGGTGTTGATCGGAGAAACCGCGGAAAACTACCGATCAGAGCAGCAGGCCGCTAGAATTCTCCTCCAGATAGTAATTGAATTCGACCTAGCAGATAAGCTAGTGTCGAAATTCCTGCCACCGTCGTGACTCAATCACCTCCCTGTCAGAGGGACTGCAGTGACATCAACTGATGCTCTAAGTCATCTCTCCCGGTGTTTCAGGTTGAACGAAGACTCCTCATGCCCAACCTGTGACCCATTGGTTGAAAATATCCACGTTTAGTCGAGGAGGGGGAAGGACTCCACTGATTCCTCCAGCTCATGGTGACTCCTGATTCCATCGTTACAAGGATGCTGGTGTTCCAAGAGAATTGGAGAGTGGTAGCCACCTGTGACGCAAACGTTTTGAAGAAGAGTCGGTCAGAGAAGCGATTACAAAGGAGTATCCCGTGACATACATTGTCATAGAGCGATAGCTGATCTGCCCTTCTCGTGATGCAATGCCCGATGGCGGGAAGGGAATCGGAGGAATTGGAAAGGTTGTCCTAGGCACAGAATAGCTGTGAATCCCACACGTTGCAAAGTGCGGGCCTCGCAGTATGTTTAGAAGATGCCCCAGTCAAAAAATGACGGAGAGACGGACATTTTTGAAACTTTCTTTAGGTATTGTGTCCTGATTTACGTGTTCGTTCTTTTCTGTGTCTTCCAAAATATGTATTTACATGATCACGTCATAGATTTTTGTACAAATTACACTTTTTGAATTTTACACATGGGAGAAAAAGTGTTTCCTAAAAGTAGTATGTATAAGAGAATATTTAATGAATACGCCAATTTCCATAGAAATTACTCTTCTAAATTTAACACCGGAATGTAAATCACAAAGAAGTTCGTTTGGGAAAGAGAATCACATTCTGTCTAAAGGAGAATTCGAGACGTGATACCTTTTCGTAGCTTTTGAAGAATTGAGGTTTACGGATAATCAGGGGAATTCTCTACGACCCAATCAACTTGATTGCATTTCTCAGAACGACGCGGGATTATGAATGAGCTTTTCACTGCCATTATTTCACAGGTAATCACAGGCCATTGTAGAAGTGGCTGGGATATTTTACTCGTATTACATTTTATTCGTTTTATTTCATAGATTTTTCCATTAAAATGATGTTTCCTCTCTAGTATGTAGTTGGTTCCTATTATTATTACTATTATTATTATTACTATTATTATTATTATTATTATTATTATTATTATTATTATTATTATTATTATTATTAGTATTAGTACTATCACAACAATTTGTGCTGGGACCAACTCGTGCATTCTTAACACTTAAAGAAATGAGCTCGGCCACTGATGTGAAAGATTTCACTCTGCTCCCCATGTCCGATACTAGGAACTTCTTTGTTCACGAAATGGTGAACTCTATAACATGTTTCCATAATCACTGCTTTTTGACCAAAATTCAGACTTCGTTGAGGTAAACCCAATTTCTCTACGTACCGAAAAACATATTCACGCTTTACCGACATAGGTGGCTCAGGGCTTCAACGTAAGCTAGAGGTGTGCATCTGACTTTGAGGGCATGGGGTTCGGGTCCCAACGGAGGTAAGATTTTCGACACTAGCTTGTCAACTAGGTCGAATTCAGCTGCTGTCTGGAGCAGAATTCTAGCGGTCGGTTGCTCTGATCGGTAGTTTTACGTTGTTTCTCCGGGCAATACCAGGAGTTTTCCGGAGCAGTACCGTATAAAACGGTCCACAGACTGCGTGCGATCATTCCTTTCTATTCCTTGTCCTTGATCTTTTCTCTCCCCTTATTTACACACACACACATGCACCACACTACCTCACATGTCGGGAGATCCATCTGGAGCCTAGAACTTGTTCTGGCTGGTCAGAGACAGGCTGGCGAAAGATACCTGGTTGGGGAAAATCCACGTAAGCCGACGTAGGTCGCGCCGAATCTAACCATTTTGCAGGGGAAGATCTCCATCCCTTTCCGCGATAAAGCATGCACTGCACTTATGGGAGTAATGACCTTAGCTGTAGCCACGCCCGCAATCACTAATCAGTCAATCGATTAAGGAATCACGATTCTGTCCGCTTGTCTTTGATTAAAGATGCAACACGAAGGTGTTCAAATATGAGGAAAACACAAACAACTTCAGAACGGAGGCGTGCAATCCAATAACACCTTTGCTTAAAAACTACTGCTAAAGGGAACAATACGAACAAAACATATTTCAGAAAATTCCACGAAACTACGAGCTTATTGTCGATGCAGCAAGTGCAGAAAAAATATTCCATTTATGGTTTTGTCATATTTGTCACACGTTTTATCACATCGCGCTTTAAAAATTTCGGAGAAAACAGCTGCAATGCAATATATACCAATACATTTCTTACGGAATTGTTCGGTTGTTCACAATTAAAACCGTATTATATTGCTGTAACCAACCGTACCTTAATTGTATTAGCATGAGGAAAAAGGTAACAAGCAAAAATTCATCGTTTCTTGCGTTAGAACATTTTTCTTTCAGGCAAGACAAATTGTAGTGTGAAGAAAGTAATTACGTCATAACAGTGTTTAGACTATTGGACATGAAAACATAATAGGTGTCAGTGTTATTTAATGTTTACTTCCTCCTGAAAAGTGGAAAGAAATGACTTACTTCCTTATTCCTCAGCCCAATTCAATTATATATTTTTTCTCTAGCAATATTTTACAGTACTGATTTGCTAATCGTGAATCAAGTCAAAATGTGCTTAACATTTTAACATGAAAAGAACTAATGATAGAATAAAATACCATGTTCCGCAAGTTAAATTCACAAAACCTTTGATACCTACTAATTTATGGTTTCAGTGTTAATTGCAGCAGTATAATCATTTCTTAACACGTGATGCCTTCCACTTCCTTTCCCTTTTCTGTCGCTCTACGAAGTAAGATGATAAAAATTCAATACCTTCGTATTCTACAGAAAGTAATTCGTATCATATTTCTAATCTTCTAGAATATAATAAAGAATTCTACAATAGTTTCAGCTCAAAATTTTGAGGTATCAGATTGTTTTTAAAATATCAGATACATACATTTTTGAAATATGAGACACTAGATTTAAGAAAAAATTAAATTCAAAATTCAAATGCCTATGTTCTGTTTACTCATTTTCTATGTTGCTGAAACAAAGAAAGAAAGAAAGAATAAAAAAAGAAAGAAAGATAGAAAAAAGGAAAGAAATTGGCTAATTAATTACTTGTTTCTATTCTGTTGCGTCTACCCGTTAGTGTAGTGCATGCTTTTAGTACGGCGGAGGTGTTCTTCCGCTGGATTGTGGGCTCCGACGTCCACCGACCCGTCAGATTTCGGTTTCTTCCCATCCCAGTATCTCGCACCAACCATTGCATGAGCCGGAAGAAACTCTGATCTCCCCACATATGTGGTAGTGTGCATGTAAATGTGTGTAAGAAAGGGATGAGGATAGGACAAGGACGAGGAAGAAAAACTCGCGCGCGCTCGTGGCCCGTTTGGTCGAGTACAGGTCCGGCCTTCGCCTGGTAATGATCGGAGCAGCCGGAGAGTACCATTCTTCTTCAGACAGCGACTGAAATTGACCTACCTATCTAGTGTCAAAAATACTCCCACTTTGGGACACGAACGCTAGGACCGGCCGACAGAGACACATCAGCCACCTCAGCCGGTAGGACAAGGCAGAAACAAAGGAAGAAAGAACGAAAGAGAGAAAAAAGTAAAAGAAAGAAAAAGAAAGAAGTAAAGAAAGTTGGAAAGCAAGAAAGATGGAAAGTAAGGAAGAAGGAATGAAAGAAAGAGAGAATGAGGAAGGAAAGAAAAACAAGGAGAGGAAGGTGAAAAGAAGAAAGAAATATTGAAGGGATGGAAAATATAATTGTTAATTTTGTCTTTGTTTATACTAATTGTTAATACTAATTGTTTGGTCTGTTACTCAATCCCTTGGTATATAATAAAGAATGATTCTCGATTTACTGTCTCTTAATGCAACCATATGGATACGCACCATATGCCCTTTGCAGACTATACAGGAGATGCGACAGTTGACCTTTGGTTGAAGTATCTCCCTGTCCGAAATATACATTTCTCATGTTTTAGCGTTCTCTCTTGAAAATAATCGTATCTACTTGACACAAAAATTATTCGTGTTAGAAAATTGAATATCACTTAATATTACACAATTTGTTATACTGCAGAAAAAAATAATATAAGACAATAATGTAAATTACTCTATTATAAAATATAAAATGTAATCATTTTTCTCATTTACAATAAATAAGACCTTCTAAACAGTAATTAAAAATATGAGTATTCCTTATTCAACAAAGGAATGATATTATCCTATTATTTATAGGACAATACAACAAAAAAAAGATTGTCTATTCACTTCAATGGGATATTAATATCAGTTCTCAGCAGAAATAGGAATGCCTAGTGACACGACATAAACTGATACACGCAATTCTCTATTCTCTGGTATTTCGCGGACTTTTTATCAGGGCTATTCCAGCTGTCGATGCAGCTTCAACCATCTTTGAGGAGAGACGGGAGTTGTTAGCGTAGTTTCGTGAATCTCCGCGTCTGCGGAAAATCGGCGCTACGTTCGCCGCGGCTGGACTGTGGCGCCGCTCGTAGCAACCATATGAACCACTAGTAACACTTCGAAAAGAATCGCCGAATCTGTCTCAATGATTTCGCGCAAATGCTCAACAAGTTGAGAGGACTTGTAAGAACAATAAGCAAATAATTTTATAGCATTTTCTTATACAGCGTTTTTTCTACAAATTACTCATTCACAGAAGCTTTAAATTGTAATTTGTAATCTTTCTTGACTTTTACTTCGTTTTCACGCTTATCAAATTTTACATCTATCTCATAACATAAAACGACATAAGTATTCACAATCACGGTGATTTTTGTTTTTATTAGTATTATTAGATCTATAATTCAAATCATACAGCATCTTTAAAGTTTCATTGTAAATTTATCTGTATGCCATTCATTTAGTTTCATGCGTCAGTTTATTCATTACAGAGGTCTACGACCTTCCTAATTTAATACGCGTTCTCGTCTATATCGTACAGACAGTAGAAAAAGTTTACACAAAAAGAGTATCTGAGAATAATAGTCGAAAAAATAGATCATGAGTGCATGAGTATATCAAATTTGGAAGTAACACGTTCGTTATTTCTCTTTAGCTGTTAAGATTAATTATGGATAATTCTTAGCCTACTTAAACTTCAATTTGAAACTTATTTATTTAGACCTTGTAAATGTTTATATAACTATATAGTAGCCGTTTTCCGGAGCACTATTACAAAACTTTCTCTTCTTACGGAATAAAGGCAATAAAGTAAGAGACGAATAGTTGCTATAACACATTCGAGAAAAGAACATAGTAGAAAAACATTTGTTTGCTAAACAGAGATTTAAATGTCCATTTATCATATATAATACCTAGTTATTTGATACAAATATGTTTTGTAAATTAAACAATTTATCAAAGACATTCTACTTCCAATAAGTGTAATTAAACATTGAAAGGCTTAGGACAGTCAGAATATAAGCCACACTGACCATAGCAAGATTCCAACTGTTTGTAAAAAAAATTTATATTTCGAAATTCGACGAAATATCTCTCATCTCCTAATTACTACTAGAACCTTATAAATATCTATGAGATCTAAATTAACAGGATAAGCCACACTTTCACCAAAATCGAGATATATTATTAACGAAAAGCAGGAGGACTGCTGTAGCTGTATGGTTCATGAAAAATGAAATAATTATGTGTCGTCATTGCCAACAATGTTATTTATTAAAATAGCAGCTTTCGATGACAGCCATCATCATCAGGTTTCTTCTGTATGGAAGACACAAAATTGATCTATGGTTCATCTTGTTTCTTCCCGAAGTCCTTTAATTGATACGATGTACCAGACCAAGAAAACAGTCAAAAGTACGTCCACGAAAACTTTAAGGCAGGACACGATATTGGAAACAATAATATAATTTCTTCATGTAAGGTAATTTTGTATTTGTATGGTATACAAAGATCATGAAATAATATGCTTCAAATAATCTCAGATTTGAATACATAATATACTGTTTCATTTATAGACAATTTTAAATCAATACGGAACAAAACAAAAATATGACAAAATGTAAGATTAAATACTGATTATTAATTATTTTTTAGAATATGCAAACATTTAACAAAACAAAGTTGTTTCTTTAATATTGTAATTTTTTTGCGCATTCGAGAACAAGATGGTTGCTACATTATTTTTTAAGATGATTTTACAATAAACTTCTCAGCAATTCTGAAAACATTTTTTTCAACTAGAAATTGATTCCTCCCAAGCATATGCTGCAGGAGTGCGGGTCTAAGGAACCATCTGTTGGCCAGGAGGTACTTTCGGGCCAGTATGCCGTAACTGGGCTACGTGAATGGACGTTAATGAAGGCTTCTGAAACTCGTGAATGGGCAGTGTTGGCCTCCTCAAGATGCGTATGATAGGGCAGCCGAACAGGGTTGTCGGGGCACGCAAAATGGCAAGGCGTAACTCAGTAGAGATATGCGAAACTTCCACATCGTGTTCCAGTTAAACGCTGCTGTGTAATGGGCAGCTCCATTAACAAGATACTCTAGTTTCAGTTGAGGTAGAAGTAAAGTTACGAGAAATACGCTGTGAATTAGGTTTTGATGCTAAGCTTTCTTGCAATCAACTACATTTATACAACAGATATTAGCAGAAATAATCCTAATTATTAGCGCTCATTTTTTCTGTTTGCCGTAATGAGTCTGTCATGTTAAATTTGCTAATA